CACACACACCCACATACCTCTGGGGGGAGCCCCATTCTGCTACGCATACACACTCCACCACACACATGCACCCACACCCCCACACACATACTGTACAAACCCCGTACCCACCCACATCCACACATACCCCCCCACCTACCCATACCCCCCAAATATATAAGAGTAAGACTTTATTTTGAGCTATTATACAATCACTTGTATATACATGACACAAACACACAGAAAGCAGGACAAAATTTAAAAAAAAATTAAAGTATAGTATTGTGGATGTTTGATTTTTAGTATATAATTAGGGGTTTTTTCCAGTTCCAAGATGGGAAACCCCCTTCCCAAATGGAGTACTTCTAGGGTGAGGGGAGGGACTTCTGGTGGCAAAGGTTAGGGGTTAGGGGCAGGACTTCTGGCCCCAAGTTGGGGTGGGGGGTGGCAGGGCACCTTTCAAGGGGCAGGGCTAGCCTTGTGGCTCTCAACAGCTTTCCAAAACTCATTAAGCAGCCCTGCAGCTGAAATAATTGCTCACCCCTGGGTTAGGCTCTCACTTGTGCATCTCTATCCTCTAGGCACGCCTCACCTGCCCATGCTGTAACATGCGCAAGAAGGATGCCGTCCTCACCAAGTGCTTTCACGTCTTCTGCTTTGAGTGTGTGAAAACACGCTATGACACCCGACAGCGCAAGTGCCCCAAGTGCAATGCTGCCTTTGGTGCCAATGACTTCCATCGGATCTACATTGGATGAGTTGTGCCCTGGAGGGACAAGAGAGGTGTCTCTCCCACTGACCACCTAGCCTCTGTGTTTTCTGTCACCAGCAAGGCAGTTGCTCCTTCTCTTCTCCGGAACAAGTGACCCGAGGCTGGGGAGAGGAAAGAGGCAGGTTTGGGATCTTGGCTCATCTTCTCTTCTGATCTGTTTTTTCCTTTCATCTTGCTCTTAGTTCTTCTATGGGACCTCCACTCCACAGTGGTCATTCCCATCCACCTTCTCCGCTTTGCTGAGCTGGAGTGGCTGCTGTGGAGTGTTAGACTAACTTAACCCTGGCCCCAGAGATGAAGGGAACTACCCATGACAGCATAGGGAGAAGTCTGAGGCCTTGACTTAGCAAGTCAGTTTTGGCTATTAAATATGCCCTATCAAGGTCATTTTTTTTTTCTATTTAAAATCTTTTATTCTGCTCATAGGAAAACCATTGGAATGTGGAAACTTGTTTACTTCTCCTCTGTCTGTGTACATGTGCTGGTGGTTGTTTCTATAGAGGCACTTGTGAAGCCTGAGCAAGCGCGTGCCATTTCTAATTGTTATGGTAGCATTGTTCAGCCAGAATAGCCTATAAATTAGAGGCCCTGATGCAGTCAGGAATTTTAGCACATCAGTAGTGTCATCTCTGTAGGGCGACTCCTGCTTGAAGTGAGGCATGTGGCTAAGCACCTTTCTGAATCAGGACCAGAATCTCCAAGGAGGCCAAGGCAGTGGAGAACATGACTCCTCCCCACCCCAAAGGCAAACGCACACCTTGATACCCAGAAGGAGAGAAAGAGAAGTGCAGGAGAATCTTTGACAGTATCATTCCATTTTGGCCTTGATGAGCTGTGGACAACTTTCTGCCTCCTCTTATGCTGGGGCTTCACTAGGATTGTCCTTTTTTCCTAAAGACTATTTGTAGTGGTTACTATGATGCAAATTTGCCGCAAGGACTAATCTTGTACTGCACAAACTCCAATAAAAACTGTGGTCCAGTTTGCTTTTCTGTTTTTATGTCCTTTTTTGTAGTTATTTTTTTTCCTAGTGTCAAAGGAATTTTATAAAGCCCTAATCCAGTCACAGACAATGGTTTTTATTTTTAAAAAAGCCTTTTTTTTTTTTAAAGTAGAATGATAAGTTTGCTTCTTCCAGTGATCTAATACAAAGAACAATTGACGGTAAGCACTTTATATCCTTGCCATACATTTGCTACACTAGCCCTGAGATATTCTGTCTGTCAGGCTAATTCATAAAGTAATTTTTCATGCCCTCAAGGAAATGTGCTAAGATGCATTTTACCTTTGATCCTTGAGGGAGTGTTTGAAGTCACATCTATAAAAGTGAGATTTAATCATTGTGGAAGGTGGTAGCATAAGACCCCAGGAATCTATCATTCTCTGTTCACAGAGTAGTTAAGCCAGTAGCTGGAGCACTTCAGCAATCCATCATAGGATTTTAACATTGACCTTCTTCTTGAAGTGAGACTACTTAATAATAATTTACTACTAATAATGTACATGTCTCTAGAACAGTAGTTCCCAACCCAGAGTCATGACCCAAATGAGCGTCAAGGGGGCAATGCTGGTGGCGCCGCACAGAAAAGACAAGCCACACCGTGTGCTGGGAGCTCCCCAACCCCCAGGCCACCACCGCTGCACTCTACTCCCAGCAGCGGGGCATGAAAAAAAAAGGTTGGGAACCACTGCTCTAGCACCATTCATTTCACATCTCTTTACTAATGTTCATGAATTAAACTTCATAACTTTTCTGATGATAAGAAAGAAAAGTGTCCCTGCCCTTCCAGTGGGGAAACCGAGACACTGAAAGGTTATAAACTGTTTAAATTCTTTCACACAGGTTGCAATGAGATGGAAACAACCCACTGTTCTAATAGCAAACCCAGCCTTTCCCCCCTAGACTATCCTCCCTCCCCTAGAGTATCCTGTAATTAGAGAAGTGCATTGTTTCCATCTCACCACAGCCTGGGTGCATGAGTTAAAGCAATTTACAACCTTTCAGTGACTCAGTTTCCCCACTGGAAAGACAGGGACATTTTTCTTCCTTATTGTCAAAAAAATTATGAGGTTTAATTCATTAACACTGGTTGAGATGCTACAGACATGTAAATTATTGGAAGATCGTATTTATTAACTAGCTGCACTTTAAGAAGGAGGTGAAGGTTGAACATCTAACCTACACACAACTAACTTATATGCAAAGAAAACTCCCCTTAGTCATTAACAACAAACGTGTTGTCACAACCAGGGTAAATTGGATTTGAACTGATATCCTAAGGAATAAAAGTCCACAGGCCTTTCACAATGTCCTGTGCCAATTCATAATTCTTTTAAAACAGTGTATTTAGTTGCACAAGTTATAAGGTAGGATTCTAGGACACCTGTACTGGGAGGTTTTGGTCTTTGTCTGATAGGGGAGCAGCAAAGCAGGGTATTTGAAACTGGGTTTTTTTGTTTCATGCTCATAGCTTGGAAATTCACTTCCTCCTTTGCTTGGTGGATAGTAAAAAAAAAAATTAATTGGTTGAAAAAAATCCTCCTTGGGTGGATTTGAGTCTTGAAGCAGAGTTTTGGCACAAATAAATGTTGAAGTTAAAATAGTGACTGAAAATGTCACCATGGAGCTCTGTATTTAGTTGTGCTGCACCTTGTGTATCAAGTTTGCTGTGATTAGACTTTCTGATGATGCTTGTAAGACTCAGCCCTGCAAACTCACCCTGAATTCTGACCCAAAAGCCACATTTTCTTTAGATCAGTACTAATGAAAAAAGCATTTGCAGACAACCTAGCTGACAATTTTGTTGATGAATGATGTACAGAAGAATCCACAAGCATGCAAATACAGTTAAAAGGTTTAGGGCTAGATTGTATTCCACTTATTAGCTGTATTGCTATTCCATCTTGTTCAAATCCCTGAGAAGTGTGAATGTGCCTATTTTTGTAAACAGTCATTTTAAGATTGTGTCACGAACAGGAGGAAAGAGGAGGAATTATTGGCTTTAATAATTTTTCAGGCATTCCAACATGGAATAAGGTCACATTTGGGCAACCAAATCCACTTAAGTAACTAATGGGTAGAGTAAGATCTAGACTTTAAAATGAGCATATATTGCATAAGAAAGAGGCTCTTATGACTGCATACCAAAATGTTTTTTGGCCAGTTTAAGCAGACTTGAAAAGTTAGACTGCAGTGAACAATTCGGCAGGTAAGGGCAAGCGTGATGGGCAAAACACATGGCCACAGTGTGTGTATATGAAAAATATGGAATCTGGCTGGTTGGCTGGAGTCCTATTGCTTCTCTTGGGGGGGTAAAAAATTCTGAAAATAGCCTGCTTTCCCTGAGGGGAAAAAAAGGGTTTTGCTGAACATCCACATTTTGTGTCAGAAAACCAGTATTTTTTATTCTGAAATGCTGTTGTGATGCCTCAAGCAGTTAATGCTTGATGGCCTCTGGTGCCAAGCCTGCTTTGAGCCCAGTAAGATTCATAGGAAGGTTGGGCTGGAAGGGACTTGATAAGCTCATCTAATGTTGCCCTCTATGCAAGGCTGCATGTGTGTCCGTCTAGCCTTTTCTAGAAAATGTTTAAGGATGGAGATTCCACAGTTTTTGTAGGTAGCCTCTTCCAATGCTCGACTACCCTCATAGTCAAAAAATTCCTCCTGATATTCAACTTAAATTTCCCCTGCTGCAGCCCGAGGCCACTTGTCTGTGGCTGTAGGGGACAGGACTAGGAGGAAAACCCATATCCAGCCTCTCTAATTGTCCTGCAGGTGTTTGACGGCTGTTGTCAAATCCCTCCCTAAACTTTCTCTTTCTCAGACTAAATAACCCTAGTTCTTTCAGCCTTTCCTCATATACTGTACCTTGCTTCCCAGGTCCCTAATCGTTGTTGCTCTATGCTGGACTCTTTCCAGACTGTTCACATTCTTCTTGAACTATAGGGCCCAGAACTGGACATAGTACACCAGGTACTCACCAGTGCTGAATAAAGCAGAGTTACTTCCCTTGATTTGCAAGTGACATCTGTTAACACAACAGAAGCACGCTGTTGGCTCATATTCAGTTGATGGTCTACTGTGACCCCTAGCGCCTTCTCTGCAGTACTGGAGCCGAGCTAGTCATTCCCCAGTCTCTTTGTGCATGCAATTACTCCATCCCCAGTGCAGGACTTCACACTTGTCCTTGTTGCATCTTGTGTGATTGATCAAAGACCATTTTTTCCAATTCAGGTTATTCTGGATCCTAGCCCTACCCTCCCAAGTGCCTGCAACTCCTCACAACTTGAAGTCATCTATAAATTCACTAAGCGTGTGCTCTGTCCCCATTGTCCAAATCATTAATGAAGATATTAAACAATACCTTCAGTCCTACTTTGATTCTACTTGCCATGGCCATGTGATGAGCTTGGTTTGCTGTAGCTGTTGCCCCAAGATCCACTCCACTACCACTGCGGAGCTGCTGCTGGACCTCTCATTGCTCTCAGGCCCTTTGGCACTGCCACTGAATTTACCACCACCATCCCACTGGCGGAAGTGCCCACCCCCATGCCCTGGGCTGTATCCAACCTGTGAGGAGTTTCACAGTCTGGATCTAGCCCGGGGTCCCAGCTGAGGTACATGAAGAGAAAGCTAGTTGTGTGGGCTGCTATGGTGAACATTTTCTGTTAAGGAGAAAAGGGGAGAAATACTGGATTGCTGGAATGAATGGAGTAGATAAGAAAGCTAATCACTATGACTGCAGATATTTTTTGATGGGTGAGAAAAGACGAGCATTCCTTGGAGAAAATCCATCTGAATTCAGTGAGTGAGTCACAGTAGTTTGATGGAAAAGAACAATCTTTCATCAAGACCTAGCAATGTCAAGCCAGATTTTCAAAGGCACTCTGCTTCTGTTTTAGCATTCAGCTCGAGTAGTTGGGTTTTTCAAAAGAACAAACGTTATTAACAGGACCCAATCTTTGAAAACCTGTCCCATAACCGATTTAAAACTTTATTAGAAAATGTTAAAAATCGTAGTTATTTATATGGCTTTGTACATGAAGTAATGTGGAAAGTGAAGTAATAATACTGCATTTACAGGCGTCTTAGAGGTCCCAAAATGTATGTCATGAGCAGACTAGAACATTTTGAAATATATTTATGTGGAGTAATATTGAAAGGTCTGACATGATTGTGTGTTCTGTTCCATGTGTAAAGTCATTGGCATTCTCCTTCTGTCCTAATCAGGCAGTTCTGTTGTATGAGCCAGTGGAAAATTGTACACTTAAAACCCTAAAATGGCAGGGGCTGGTTACTGGGTATCCCTCCCTGGACAGCAGATTCTTAAAAGCCACCAGTGCCAAGTTGGAGAACAGGAACATCATCTTTGTGCATTTATAATTGGGATTAAAAACCAACTGCTTTCAGCTAATGCTGTTATTCAAAGTCATTCTGCTGTTGTGATATATTCCGCCAGAAGCATACTTGAACTGGCTTGTCCTATCCTTTAATTCCCTTATACTCTTACTGTACAAAGATAAGCTAATCCTAAAGACACTACTATGTTTTCAGTCTATTGGTTCCTATTTTCCAGGAAGATATTTATCCTTTGGCTTTCTTCCCATTGGCTCTTGCCTTCTTACCCAAAGTTGCATATACTGGTTGTCTGCAGGGCCTTATGGAAGCTGAAAAAGACTAAACTTTGCATGATAAATTGGTATTTTTCAATGAACTTAATTAATATAATAACAATATGTTTAATAAATGCATTTCATCCAAATTGAGCTTTATTAAACAAAATAACAAAGATCTGCTTTGTGGATTGTGCTTACTGCTAGGCTGAGCTTTTTGTCTTTAAAGTACATTGCAAAAGCTCAGTACTGAATCCTTCCAACACACCTATGAATTGTCATTGTAGATACAGGGGGGATTGATGCTCAGAGACTGATTTAGCCAGTGTTACAGAATGAGCCAATGACAGCACAGGAATTAGGAGTACAGAA